GTGACTAACAAGGTTACTAAAACCAAATTAGCCACGTAAGGGAGCTACTTCTATGCTACACAAGCAAGAAGGTAACTAGTAAGCTACACAAGCTAACTAATTACAAGAGCAACTACACAAGCTTAATATGTATAAAAGTAATTGCAAGCTTGTGTAATGGGGATGCAAACCAACGGGAAGAACAAGGTTGATACGATGATTTTTCTCCCAAGGTTCACGTGTTTGCCAACACGCTAGTCCCCGTTGTGTCGACCGCTCACTTGGTGGTTCGGCGGCTAATTAGCATCACCCGCTAAGCCCGCACGTCGGGCACCGCAAGAACCTACCCCTTGAGTGAGGATAGCTCAATAACACGCTTTACTAAAGTTGCTCTTCGCGACTCCCGTGGGGCAATCACAAGTACCCCTCATAAGCACTTCTCCGGAGCGCCGCACAAGCTTCTTGCAGGCTTCCACGGAGACCACCACCAAGCCGTCTAGGAGGTGGCAACCTCCAAGAGTAACAAGCACCACCGGCTTGCAACTCGATCACCTAGTGCCACTCGATGCAACCTCACGATGCAATCACACTAGAATCGCTCACTCACACAATCGGATGATCACTATCAAATATGTGTGAGATGGAGGGCTCCTAAGCACTCTCAAGCATGGACACAAAGTCTCCCAAGGTGCTCCACACCAGCCATGGCCGAAGGCCACTTCTATTTATAGCCCCAAGTGCTAAACTAGCCGTTACCCCTTCACTGGGCAAAAATCGGGCCGACCGGACGCTCCGGTCGTGTTGATCGGACGCTAGACCTCAGCGTTCGGTCGCCCGCGGACGGCCACGTGTCCTGATTCCAACGGTCACTTGACCTGACCGGACGCAGCAGCTTCAACTGACCGGACGCTGGACCCCAGCGTCCGGTCGTTTCCAGTAAGGTACCCGAGGCGTATTTCTTTGACCGGACGTGTCCGGTCGCACGTGATCGGACGCAGCCCAGCGTCCGGTCACACTCTAGCTTCTGCATCACCGTACGACAGCCTGACCGGACGCACCCTGCCAGCGTCCGGTGCTTTCAGACCCAGCGTCCGGTCAGTTGACCGACGCCAGCGTCTTCGCGATCAACTCGTTTTCACTTCTAACTTCTTCACCCTTGCTCCAATGTGCCAACCACAAGAATTTGCATCCGGCGTAATAGAAAATAGGCATTCCATTTTCCCGAAAGCGCTGAATCCCGACCCATCTCAACCCTGCAAACACCACCTCCTTTTGTAAATGTGCCAACACCACCAAGTGTACACCACCATATGTATATGTGTTAGCTTTTCACAATCATTTCTCAAAGGATATTAGCCACTCAACTTGCCACGCCACTCGATCCTAGCGACGATGCAAAGTTAGATCACTCGAGTGGCACTAGATGACCGATATGCAAACAAGTTTGCTCCTCTTGATAGTACGGACATCTATCCTAAACCCAGTCATCAACTTCTCTACACACCTATGACCGGTGAAATGAAATGCCCTAGGTTATACCTTTGCCTTGCGCATTCCATTCCATCTCCTTCCAATGTCGATGCAACACATGCACCAACACGATCAACAATGATATGATCCACTTCATATCATCACGTGATCATATTGGTTCATCGATCTTGACTTCACTTGCCCTTCACCGTTGCCATCGTCCATCGGCGCCAAGTCTTGCTCAAGCTTCACCGCCACGCGGTCCATCACTCCAAAGCCTTCGACTTGCCCTTCACGCTTGCAACCGGTCCATCAAGCCAAGTCTTGTCTTGATCTTCTCCACCTTGATCACATGACTCAATGTCATGTCTCATGTGCGTTAAGCTCCTTCATCATCACATGTGTGAGCTTTGCAACATCTCTAAGCCATTTTTATTTTCATGGCATATGTTGCTCACACACATGTACCTATGGACTAATTACCTGTGTATCTCACATAAACACAATTAGTCCACCTAGGTTGTCACTCAATTACCAAAACCAAACAAGGACATTTCAGTTGTCATCTCAACTCCTACAACACATCTGACATAGACAAGATATGTTTTCTTTTTAAATTCACTCTGGAGGCACCTTTAGTCCGGGTTTGAAACACAAACCGGGACTAAAGTTACCTTTAGTCCGGGTTCGTGTCTCAAACTTAGACTAAAAGTCACACTTTTAATGTTGTTTTGTGTCTCAAACCGAGACTAAAGCCTCCCACTGACACGCCTTTGTAACCATTACAACCGGTACTAAAAGGTGGAATTAGTCCTAGTTTGTATTACAAACCAAGACTAAAGGTCCCATGCCTCCTTTAGTCTCGGTTTGCAATTTGAAATCGGGACTAAATATTTTTTAGCCATCGACGAAAGGATCGTTTCTCTACTAGTGGTTGCTCGCCCTCCGATGGATTACTCTTTATTTGATGGCTCCTGTGCGCCGCCACAAAATCCTTTTGCCGTGATCAACATTCGCGCGCACGTCTCCAGACTAGAACAAGCGCCGCGCGCATGCTTCAAGCGGCATGCATGGTGGACATTCCGGAGTCTGGACTCTTGGCCTCTAACCTACACTACAGGTAACCGGCTCTGACACCTCACTCTTTGGATCTATTTGGAAAGGCTCCGGCGACTCCGGCTCCAAGTATTGTAGCAGTAACATAGAGGAGCCACCGAGCCCCAAATCCCTAGCTCTTTCGGCTCCTCCCGTTTGCAGATTGCTTTTAGCTGGAGACGGAGCCATCTGGCTAAAAAACAAACGATTATGTTTTGCTGTATGTGCGTTAACATGGGGTCTTTTGCGCATCATTGGTCAACTTGTCGCCGGGAGTTTGCGATCAAGGATTTAGGGGGCCCTGTGGTTCTTTCTACTTTCTTGGCATTCAAGTCCAGCATGATGCTACGGATTTCTTGCTCACACAATCACAGTACACTGTACACGGGGGAAATCTTCGAACGAGCAGGGATGAGCAACTGCAAGTCGGCACCGACGCCCATCGACAACCAAGTCCATGAGAAATAAAAAACGTTTAGTTTTTTTATATGAAGCAAAAAAAGAAATGTACGAGTAAATTGTTAGGAAAACTTGCCACACCAATCAATGAAATCTATTTTTTTAGCAATAGTAGTTCAGCCTTCAAAGCCCATTAAGCAATCTACAGCCTATGTCAACAACCCATCTTCGTCTAAATAAAACAAATGGACCACAAATACAGGGGGTGAAAAAGGCTATAACAGAAATTTAGCCCTTGAATTCGTCTGCGAGTGGGCCTTTGTGGTCTACCACTACTGCCTCGCCTGTGCGCTGTCGAATCAAAAAAAGATTTTCAACATACTCTTCTCATGCAGATGCAGTTTCTATTTCTTGTTATAAAATGGGATGAGATGATCGTTGTAGCTACTATATAGGATGTTTACCAAATCGACGAAAACCCTTCAGATCCGACTGCAGTTCACAGAAGTTCACAAATTAAAAGCGATTTGATTTCAGGAAGGGAGCATGCATGAATCACTGAGATCTTCTCAGCGTTACCAGTATCTATAGTATGCGGTAAACACGGTCTGCAAGGTAATGGCAGGTAGTGCTCCAGGCTGTTCAAATAAACTATTAAGACATCCTCCTCCTGTCATAAACTACATTTAGCATCGATAGAGGTTACACAATTTTGGGGTCAAAATTGCACCATGTAAGGAAACGATTACATAGAAAACGGCTCCATAGACTACTCCATCCCGTTTCAGTCAAGACTCAAGACATAGACAGCTTATGATGGCATTCAAACAAACAAAAGGATTTATCATATACACTGCGGATCATTGTCGAAATCAACAGTACTCAAATACAGGTAATGTAGACATCGAGCACAAACTAGACAATCGATCAAGACATGAGAACCAGGCTATTTTTACTTGTTTAGCGCGGTTATTAGACTTTAGAGACTAGTTTGCCCCTTCAGTCAACAAAGCTTACAGTAACATGAAAGAAAATAACAACATATACAAGTATTATGAATGACTACAAGACAATCGCTAGCAGAGTACTAGACGTAAGCAAAGGCTACCATGGCTAACACGAACATGGTCATATGCATTCATTCGTTTGGTGACATGAGAAGCCGGTAAGACCAAACATAAATTAAATGTGGGGCAGCACCATTCAGCTTGTCTGGACTACAGAGAGCCAGAGAGGCAGAGACTAGTTTTGCCTTCTTCAGTCAAGAAAGCTTACAATCGAAACGTTACAGTGACATAAAAATAGTAATTCCTCCCTACAAGATTACTAGGAGATGTAGTCCAAAGCTTCCATAACCAATGAAAACATGGTCTTTTGCATCCATTCATTTGGTCAGATGAGCAGCTGATGAGACCGCACAGTAAGTATTTGGTTTTATATGAGTGGTCAACTGGTCATCACCTGAAGGCTGAAGCCAAATGAAGTGCATGGCTTATGCAGAGCAATATGTACATCAGAATCAAGATATCAACCTCAATCAGTGCAATGACAAAGTTCGAAACATTTGGTGAACATTGCAATTGTGATACACAAGCACTTGGTTAAGACTCGGAAAAGTATAAGATATTCCGGGAAGAAGAACAGAGAAACCTACAAGTGCTCTGCAACTGAACATTTTGTTTAAGAGGGTTTAAAGTCTTAAGATATTAAAAAATGTAATGATTTTGGTCAACCTCTAGTAGAAACATACAGGTGCTCTGCAACTGAATAATTTTGAACTGAAATTGCTTGGAACATTTCAATGGTATCATGAAAGCAGCACAGCGTTCGGCCAGAGAAGATACCCGTGAGGCAGAAAGATTGGTTCCAATCAGGTTCACTAATTTGATTTCACTAATTTGATATGATATTCATATTTTTCACATGAAGGTACAGAGCTACAGCTAGTATACATCACATGATGATTTGGATATATTCCTCAAATCCAAGTTCAACGGCCTTACAAAGTTACAGATCGACAATGAGCAACAATGGAATAGCGTCACCTCAATTCCTCCTCAGTTCTGCCTATGGGCGATATAGTTGGCCAAATGCAACAGAGGTGCTGCCTTCTCCTTGTCGAAACAATCAAGCTGCTCTATTGCATCAGAAAGCAACTTTTCTGCAAACTCGCGTGACTTGTCTAACCCCAATAGCTTTAGGTACGTCGTCTTGTCACTTGCCAAGTCCTTCCCCGCCGTCTTGCCGAGCTCCTCTGATGACTTGGTGACATCAAGTATGTCATCGACCACCTGGAACAACAGCCCGATTGACCTCGCATATTTCCGCAGCCGCTCAATTTGCTCATCCGTGCCGCCTCCGATGATTGCCCCAATCACCACTGAGGCCTCGAGCAATGCAGCGGTCTTGTGGAGATGGATGTACTCAAGGCGTTCAAGGGGCACAGGTTCAGATGTGCCCGTCATCTCAAGATCGACAACCTGGAGAGGGCAGGTGAAGCATTTTCAGCAATTTGTTTAAGCACTTGGATGTCGCATTCCTTGTTAGAGAGCTACTAGTAATTTTCAATATCTAACTCCAGCGAATGCAGACAAATAGAGCATCGACAGCACCACCGTTAGGAAGATGCCCCATGCCTCCATATGATATAAAGAATGTCAGGATAAGCAATTGCCCGGTTTTAAATTGATTCTATGTATTTGCTGAATGGCGGAAAGCAATATATAATCTGATAAAACGAAGAGACCTGGCCGGCGACGAGTCCCTCCGATCCGATGCAGCGCGCGAGCTCGCCAATGGCTCGGACGACGCGGGCGGGGTGCTTCTCCGGGTCTACGTCTGGAGGGTAGGACCCGACGCTGGCCATGTGGTGGAAGGAGAGCGAGAGCAGCGCGTCCCCGGCGAGGACCGCGATGGGCTCGCCGTAGACGACGTGGCAGGTGGGCTTGCCGCGGCGGAGGTCGTCGTCGTCCATGCAGGGGAGGTCGTCGTGGACGAGCGACATGGTGTGCACCATCTCGACGGCCGCCGCGGCGGGCATCGCCCAGGCCTCCGGCCCGCCCACCACAGCGCACGCGGCCAGGCACAGCGCGGGGCGCACGCGCTTCCCGCCCGCCAGCAGCGCGTACCGCATCGCGTCGTGCAGCGCCGCGGGGGGCTCCCCGGCGGGGATGGCCGCGTCCAGCGCCCGGTTCACCGCGACCGCGCGCTCCCCCATGTACGCCTTGAAGTCGAACTCCGTGGTCGCCGCCGCCGAGGGCGCGGCCGCCGTGGCCACGATGGCGTTGAAGCGGCGGCGGCCGTGGTGGTGGTGGTTGTGCGCCGCGATGGCGACGGAGGAGGAGGGGGAGGGGGAGGGCGCCCCCGCGGCGGCGGCGAACGGGATGGGGGATAGGTGGACGCGCGTGGTGGCCAGCGGGTGGAAGTGGAAGGCCATGGCCATGGGTGGCGAGTTGGGGACAAGTGCGGGGGACGGCGTCGTTGGAGATTGGGGGTGGTCCCGAGAGGTTGCGATCTCTTTATCTTGAGGTGAAAGGAAGCTTTGGCGCTGGCCGCGTCAGTGCACAGGGGAAGTGGAGAGTGGCCGCCCGGGCGGTGGTGGTGGTGCTCGGTGCTTGGTGCTTGGTGCTTGGTGCTTGGTGCGGTGTTGGCACGACCGCAGGAGCACCTTTTTAAGGAGCAAGCGTGACACGTCTGCGGCCTCCGTGTCTCACTTTCCAGCTACACAGACAGGTTCAGGTCAATCCAGTGACTATTCATAGGGAATCGTTTCAGTTTCAGGCCTGTCGTGTTTGGGACTGTTCAGAATTTGGTGGCCAACGATTGGGACTTGAAATTTCGTTTGAATTGATGAATTATTGTTCATTGACTAATTAGGCTTAAAAGATTCATCTCGCAAAGTTAAAGTAAACTGTGTAATTAGTTTTTGATTTCGTCTACATTTAATATTCTATGCATGTAGCGTAAGCTTGATGTGACAAAAAATCTTCTTTTTGCATAGTGCACTAAGATCGTCTAGCAGTTATAACTCCAACCAGTTCTTTATTTTTATTTTCCAAACAATCAATGCCTCCGTTTTAAATTAAATGTCATTTTAGTTTTATTGTCAGTTAAGTTTCTTACATTATTCAAGTTTAAAGAAAAATACACCGGTATCTATAGCACCAAACTAGTTCTACAGCGCTATAAATATATTTCATAGTACATATTTCAATAGTGTACTATGAAATATATTTTAATAGTGTACTTATTTAGTTTTATAGCTACTAATGTATTTTTTCTATGAATTTAGTCCAAGCTAAAAAATGATTTAAACATAGCTAGAACGACTACTTCATACTCCCTCCGTCCCAAAATATCTATCGTTTTTGCTTCACGAGAAATAACTTTTACAAAATATATATTAAAAATATTAATAGTTATGGTATATAATTGGTATCATTGGAAAGATCTTTGAATCTAATTTTTAATAAATTTATTTGGAGATACAAATATTGCATAAATTTTCTATAAATCGAGTCAAACTTGTGTCACGTAAACCAAAAGCGACAGATAATTTGGGACAGAGGGAGTATCACTTTTTGCACTAGTGAAGAGATGAGTTATTGCGAGGAAAGTGGTATGAGAAATATGAGATACTTAGGACAGTACTAACCCAAAAACTATAAGATATTTTCTATACTTACCAAATCACGTATATACTACACATAAAAACCATATTCTGAATTGGTAGTTTCTTCAAATTATTTTTTATTTAATCACATGTCTTCTCTTTCCATTGTCTACTTATCATATCTCTTCTTATCTTCAGGCTCGGTCCTGTCAATTTATAGACCTGGAGCGAAGTTTGGGAGATGGACCCTTCAATATAATTATAATAATATGCATAAAAATTCTATCCATCTCTATTTTTTCTTTTTTCACTTCTATATAAATGCGTGCCTTTTGTCAACACGAGTGCACTGGAAATTTAGAAATACTAGATTCAGTTTAACGTTAAAATAAAAATGAGTGTTAGTAAATTACCAAGTATTTTTTTTTTGGCGAGAGACAAGTGGAGAACAGGGATAATAATTATTTACTGCCTTGCACCGTTAGGAATTCCCTAATCCCAAATTAGATCTGAGTCTTATATTCTGAAGAATAACGACAGGGGGCAAAGGCAATTAGGCAAATTAAACATTGATTAAACAATCAACAAAGGGGCTTAGGGAACAGGGGTAATTGTGCACGGCACTTTACCTGAACACGTCTGGACGCAAGGACGTCTCGTATAGTCGTAGTGTCGTACTCGTTTGGCTGGGAACGGAGTTATGGAGCGAGCAAGCGGAGTAGCCAGTGCGCACGGCCGATCGACGACGGTGACGCCGGATGGCAGATGCGAAGGCGCGCCACGATAAAACCACGAAGGAGAGCGGCCACGACGGAAGGGAAATCGACGGACTCTTTTTTTACGCGCCTAGTATTTCCTATGGGCCATATATATATTTTCTATTGGACCAGAGTATTGCCAACTAGCTTACATATTTGAGATTGGGCCCCTACGCTTCAAGGGCCCTGTGCGTGGGCACAGCTCGAACCCGCTAGGGCTGGGCCTGCTTATCTTAGTCTATGTGTAGACATAGGGCATGTTCGCTGGTTAATTTCTGGGTTGATTTGGGCTGGCTGGTGCTGGTTTGTTGTGAGAGAAAAATATTATTGGCTAGCTGATTTATGCTGGTTGAAACCAACAAGCAAACAGACTAATAGTTTCTTATCTGACAAAAGTTTGAGGCACCCGCTGCAGCGAGCGTTGAGAAGATGAAACACTCTCCTGTGACGTAAAGACAATGGAAAAGTAAGGTGCATGTTGCTAGCACTACCCTTAGATTACTCAAGTCTACATGGACTAGTACTTTTGCACAGGGCTAACAAATTTGACTGCCCGCGTTGGGCTTGCCCTGAGGCATCCTTCCAAAATTCCAGTCCAATAAACAAAGCTAAGAAAGAACCCATCCGTCCTTTGCCAGAAACCTTAATCCTGGTTTGGTCAGCAAAATTCATAACTGGAAAGTGGAACAAGCGACACAACATGCAATATGAGTGGAGTCTATGTTAGAGCAACTCCACGAGACTTGTCATCCCGTGTTATATAGTCCCATTTGGATAATTTAGTGTAAAACAGGTCTCCGACAGATTGTCTATCTCCTTTTGTAAAAATAGCCGCGAGCTATTCCTTGAATCTCGCTCGTCATAGATAGCCAGCGTCGCTCGCTTGCCAAATCACCGTTTATCCCACTGGCTCGCGCGGCATCGCCCTCTCGGTCTCTCCCACACGCACGCATCGACCTTTCGCGCATTTTCTTTTTCTCCCGAGCGCTGTCATCTGGCGATCAACCGCCACGCCATCAGCCGAGACCTGTACACGGTGCGGTGCGTGGTGGTGCCGTCTGGTTGCACCTCTTGCGTCATTGCGTGCAGCATCACTGCCGGCGCCAAGAAAGGGGATGTCAGCACTACATCAACTGACACTTATCAGGCGCAGAGCTCGGCTTCAGCTGGAACACTGGCTTCAGACGGGCCACAGGAAGACAGGCCGAAGAGGCCCAGGACTGGCAATCCACGCTACACCGGGCCGGAATGGATATCCAAGTGACCCAGCGACAGAGGGCGTGCGCACCGCTGCTTCTGAACCGTGTGGAGTGTTTTGATATATAGACTAGTACCTTCTTGTAGAAGGGGCATCAACTATTGTAACGAACCCATCTGCTACTAAGAACTCATCGTTTGTTCCGGTCCCCTTGCTGTGCTTACCTGCCTAGATTCCAATTCCTCTGTCCTTTTCTAATCTGCTATTAACAAAATTGGTACCAGAGCCTACGAATCCCTCAACCCACCATCTCTATCCACCGCAATTTTCATCTGCCCACCCTAGAGCCGCACCAAATCGACCACGAATACTTTACTCGATTTCGCAAGCAATCGGGCGCCATGGATCCCAACTTCCAGCTCCTACTCGATGAGATCAAGTCCGTGAAGGCCACGGTGAACGGAGTCGAGAGCCGTGTCGGCGCCGTGGAGACTTCTCTGGCAGCCGGATCTCCGCCATGGACCGTTCTATCTCTGATCGGTTCGGTCGCGTGGAGGATGCCATCCAGGTGTTCGACGATTGGCGGCCTTCCATGGATGCGTCTGTAGAGGAACTCCGATCCGAGGTCAGCACCCTGCGCAAGCAAGAGGGTGCGATTGAGAAGATGCGCGAAGAGATGATGGCATTGCGCAAGTCCGTCAGCCGGGTGGTGCTCGAAGCCGCACCGACCATGGCCGCCGGCATCCTGGCGCAACCGGTCGTGTCCGTGGCGACTTCATCCATTGGACACCTAAATACAGGCCCTATTGTCGGGCACCGCGTCAAACCATGTCACCGGGAGTTTGAGTCTCTGACTCCACTCCCAGTCTCGATTTCAAATCCCACCCGTTCCCCAAACCCATTCCCCGTTTGAGTCGTTCTCTTTCGAGTCCACAGATTGCTACCGACGATCGTTTATTTGTTGGTGACATCGAGGGAGTTCATGATCGATATACACAGTTGGGTCCTCAATACTCCAGTAGCAAGTTGCCGAAGTTCAATTTTCTTGTGTTCTCTGGGGAGAATCCCAAGCTCTGGATCACTAACTGTGAAGACTACTTCGAGCTCTATTCTGTGGAACCCCACATGTAGATCAAGGCGGCAACTATGAATCTCTCTGGTGCTACCGCTAGATGGGTGCAGTCGCTAGACCATTGTGGCCGTCAGTTCAGTTGGGAACAGTTTTGTAAGTTGGTGCTTGATGGGAAAAGCCAGTATGAAGCTCTGATTCAACAGCTGTTCAGGATTCGTCAGACATCCATAGTCCAGGAGTATATTGACAAGTTTTTAGAGTTGGTCGATCAGTTGTTGGCTTATGCTCGACACACAGATCCACTATTCTTTGCTATGCGGTTCATGGATGGACTCTGTGATGACATACGTAATGCCGTTCATATGCAGAGGCCAACTTCTTTTGATGAAGCTTGTGTGCTGGCATTATTGCAGGAAGAGTTGCTGGAATCTACTCGGTGCAAAGAAGGCCGGCGTCCTGCAACTTTCACTCCCAACAAGTTTGCAGGCGTCCGACCTACTGTGGCACAGACCCCATTGACAAAGCTGCACCGACGGCTAGAGTTGAGCGTCGTGGCCGTGGTATTGACCGTGGTATTGAAGATCGACTTAACACTCTCCATTCATATCGTCGTGGCCATGGTATTGAAGATCGACTTAACACTCTCATTCATATCGTCGTGCACGTGGTCTCTGTATTCATTGTGGAGAAAAATGGTCCCGAGATCACCGCTATTCTGAAAACATTCAGTTGCATGTTCTCTAAGAGTTTTGGGATATTTGTCACAACGAGGCCAGTTCTGATGACAGTCAGCCTACCGAAG